TTTGTTCGAGGAACCAGGTACGTGTTTAAATTTCGAGGACGAAATTTTATTAAAGGGAGAGAATTGTGACATCCCCGATTTTTAGCCTGGGAAGCTGAGGGCTGATAATAAATGGATGAACGGGTAATTCAAGTCGAGGGTTGGTAATGGAAAGGACAGTATGATCGGGACGAGTGTACTGAGGGTTGGTCATGGTTCGATCGAAACATTGTCCATGAATTGGCCTAGGGATCGACAGTGGAATGACCCTCTGACTACGCAAATGATTAGAGTAATATGACTGTGGAATGACCCTTCGACCATAAGGGCCGTTAGTAGAACGGTCCGCGATAATTGTGGATCAATCCGGTGTCGGCATGTATCGGTCGCGGGTGATACTGCACGGCCATGCATTAGTCCCGGGTGACCATGAGTTAATCCCGAGGTACTGGATTCCACGAGGCTACATGACAACCGAGGGTCAACCATGGGTCGTTGATACTCGAACGTGGCTTGGTCACGAATCGATCACGGATCGTTGCGTTGAGTTGGGTAGGCCATGGACGAGACATGTGCAAGGCCATGTGCCTAGTGGCTTGGTCGCGGCCGAGGCAAAATTGCTAGTCGCGCTGGCCAAGGCCATGTGCCCGGTCATGACCAGCCATCGTGCTCGTCAGCTAGGCCACGGACTGGCTACGTGCCCAATCGTGTGTCGGCCATTGTGCCCGACCCTTATGCCAGGCCTTGTGCCTATAAGATCCAGTTCCGATCCCGTACCCTACCCAAGAAATATGGCCATGAGTCATGCATCGTGCCATTCACGGGCCGTTGCGCGTGTTTGGCCATGAACTGACCCTTCGCTCGTATGACCCAGTGCGGTGCTTGGCATGTTGCCCATACGGCTGGTAAGGCACTAGGCACGTCGCCCATGCGGCCCGGCACAGTACCTGTGCGGCCCGGTCTCGCGCCCTGCCATGTGCCCGTGTGGCCCGGTGACATACCCGGCCATTTGCCCGGTCAGGCCCGGCCATGTGCCCAGTGACCTGGCTACATACCCAGGCCACCCGAGAAGCCCAAATTAGCCTAGTTAGGCTTAGATTTTTGTGTAGTTCTATTTGGTCACTTGTGGGGGCTTTTCCACACTAAACCTCATTTTAAATGGGATTATTAGAATTATTTATCGCGATAAAACCCTCGGAAATGTTGAGAATTAATATGATGCGGGGTTGCGATTATAGCGCTGTTTAGCCGATTTCAAGTAAACCGATTGGCTCGAGAGATTTTTGAGTGGAACCAACCAGCTTGTAGGCCTCCCACGGTTCCGATTTTGGTTGAAGAAAAGAGATAAAAAGAGTTGACTTGGTCAAGAGGTGCAATTATTGCCATTAAGCCTTCATAATTGGCCCTCCATGAGGTGTCCACCTTCCATTATTGTTGCAAGCTGAGTTGTGTCCCTCAATTATGGCTCATTTAAGGCACCTTGGTGACTCATTGGCCACCAATAATGGAGCCCAAGGCAAGGCCAATAATTGGCCAAGCCAAGGAAAAGCCGAAAAAGGCCATTCGACCAAGGGGGGAGAGAGAGAGGGAGAGAAAGAGAAGCCGAGAGAGAGAGAGAGAGAGAGAGAGAGAGAGAGAGAGAGAGAGAGAGAGAGAGAGAGGCCAATGAGGTGAAGATAAGCTTGGCCTTTCATCATTTTCCTTTGGCCTTAGTCATTAATGACATTTAATGCATGCCATCATAACATTTGACTTAGAGCACCTCCATTATTGGCTTAATTCTAGGGTTTTCTAGGGTTTTCCAAGCCTTTTATAAATAGCAAGACACCCTCCCTTCTCTCCTCTCACGCCAACTTCACCATCATCTTCCTCTCCCTTTTGTTTCTTGTTTTTCTCACCTTTTGGCCCGAGAAGCTCATGCCCAAAAAGTCCCGAACCGACCCGTGTCTCTCCTCGTTTCCACCCAAGAGCCCACGGTTTGGCATTTGTAGGCCTAGGTTTGCTCGGCCAAGCAAGGAGGAAGCCCGAAGATTTCCCGAGCTCACCTGTCTCTAGCCCGTTCTCTAGTTTTGTTAGTTGTTGAGTAAGTGAATTCCCTAATATCGGGAAAGTAAGTTGCGATACGTTGTAACATGGGTTGTTTGGCTCGTTTCTTGGTTTCATGGTTGTTCGTTCTTTCTCGACTAACGATGTTCACGTTTGATACTCACGTTTGATGTTTGTTTTTGTTAGTTTCGTAGCATGACTTTGCTATTTGAATTGCCATCGGTACTGGTATGGTAAGAGTCGACTTGTGTGAATGATGATTGTCTCGTCCTCGCTTGATATTAGAGTTTTTCCTTACTGAGTCTCCCCGACTCACTCCCGTTGTTTTTCCTCTTTTCAGGTCCGTGATATGGCATCTCCTCCAACCCGGTTTGGAAACCCAGTGGAAATACAACCTATGTGATGGTCGACGAAGGCCGTGATGAGTTAGTCCCTCACTTGTATGAGGCGTGGTACCGCTTAGCACACGGAGAATGGGTTGGACCCCTTCGCGAGTTCAACGGGCCATTTAGAGGATCGGGCGGGTCTGCTCCAGGGCAAACCGGGGGTGAAGCATGAGATGGCTAGCCGGACGAGGAGCGGGAGGAGCGAGAGGAACGAGAAGCTATAGCGAAGCTAGGAACCCAAGCCAAGTTTTGTTTGTTTGATGGTGGCTTGTGTCGGAAGTGCCCTTGGAATGGGCATGTAAAATATATGCGTGGTTTGTAAGGGCCTTAAAGAAGGGCTCGATGAAATAAGCACGTATCGTGTAAATATAACGTACGTGGTTTGTTTATCTCACTCCTGTTTGTCTCGTTTATCGTTTATTTGCTTCCACGTGCGCATTTGATTGTTCAAAATAAACAGGACGAACTAATATATTTCTGCGAGTCACGGGTCTGTTCGGGTCATGTTCGGTCACTAAGTATCGACTGTGATTCCGAGTCGGGACGTGACACCGCCCATATGTTTTGGAGTGCCGCTGGATTTTGACACAGTGGAAACTGAGTACCCCCCGGTCGAGGGTAGGACATATAACAAGAAAGGGACTATAGTATGGGTTAATGAAGGGGAGCCGCATCTGAGGTTGCACTTCTACGAAGTGTGGTTCTACCGAGGTGAGGATGGAATTGACGTTGGCCCTGCAAGGTTTTGGGGTGCCAACTTGCGTTAACCCAGGGCGGGTCGTACCCCCGACTCCGGATGGTGTGGTGATCAACCCTCCCTGTTACGCTCTGGTGAGCCAGCCGCATCTGCCGGTTCCCGTCATGGACACTCATCATGGAGCCTGCTGCCGTCGAGGAAGATCCTGAGGAAGATCCCGAGGAAGACCCTGAGGAGGATCCAGAGGAGCTCAATGCCTGGATGCATTAGTAGCATCTGTTTTATTTTGCTAGCCTCGTAAGGTGTCAAGTGTAGTCTTGAACTAGTAACCATCTCCCCCTCCGTCAACCTATGTTGCTGTATTTTTCTTAGTCGTACGCTTTTGTATTTGACTGGCTTTGATTATGTTATGAATTCCTTTCGTCATCTTGTGTATCTTTTCTGCATGGTGTTGTTTTCGCTTCTGCATGCATTCGTTTTTAAGCGCTCGAGTAGTGTGCCGTAGTTTCTGGGTTCAAAATTATATTGGGACGGCAAAGACGGGGTGTTATCGCGCTCGTATGGTTCGGGGCGTGACAGCTATAGCAGAGCAAGACTACCGAACACAACAATAATCAGTATGACCAATTGAATTCATAGAACATGAAAAATCTCAAACAATAGTGGATACAAGAGAGATCGAATCTACATGAGGTCCACAGCATAGACTTATAATTGGTAATGATTGATTTAGTTATAAAAAGAAACGACAACAAAAACTACTACTTCGTTCATTAATCCTACCTCATACAAGCACATTTCTTTTGCAAACATTGTTGTCACAAAGAGGAACATATCAATTGTCAACCAAAAAAAATGAGCAGGACAACCTTGCAGTGATCAAAATGGAGAAGTCATAGATTAGACTCCCAGTCCAACTGTCATAAGACCTCTTTTAATGTCAAACATTTACTCAATTGCTTAAGATGGTGCTCAAAATTAGCAAAGGATTTACCTGAGAACGTCTGTAGAATGGCTAAACAGCTAACCAAGAATGTGCATTTCCTCTCTCTCTCTCTCTCTCTCTCTCTCTCTCTCTCTCTCTCTCTCTCTCTCTCTCAACCATTGCATTTCCCTTCAAACTCTTCACAGAGAGACTTTAGAACTCTACTATAATACAAAAAAATTTGCAGGTTAGAGTTTACACAATGTTGTTGTCAACTGCTAACAATAAGATCACTTCACTATCCTCCCCAAGAGCTTCACCAGTACTTGATCCATAGTAATTCAACTTTGGAAGTTCAGACGGTTGCTCAATAGGTCAAGAATCGCTTGATTTTAGGAATTAATACATTAATAGCATGTAGCATGTGAGAAGAAAAATGCTACGTCATTTTATTGGCGCCAGTCATACCCTTGATTTGCTACGCAGATCTATGGTAGAACTTTCAATTCTATTGGAACACATTGAGGTAAAAGTTAATTTTTAAGGGAAGCAAACCAGAAGCCATTCTCCAGAGGAATATTTAATCACTTCATCTATGAGAGTTTTCCAGAATCATTGGACTGTGCATGCATTTTGCTCCTTGTGAAATCAAATAAGTAGATTGCACACTATATCTACAGTATGAGTCATGAGCCCAATTCAATGAGCTCGAAGTTGGATAAGGAGTATGAATTTTCATCATTTTTCTTGCACCTTTGGGAATAAAGCGATGTTTCCACACCCTGTATATACCTGCATCCAAGGATATGTCCAAACCTTTCACCGATCAGTCCATTCCGCCAAATCAAATCAAGTATTGATACACAATTCGAAAAATTATTCATGCAAAATCTGGGAAAAAAGGTCCTCATACCTCCGGAAAGAAAAGTGGGAGGGCTTGATAGTTATGTGGGGCAACCTTCGATTGTTAGGTGACTAAGGATTGCAAGCCTTCGCACCGGAAGATTCTAAGCCGTTGAAGTGACTGAAGGGCCTTCATATGCTCAGGTAACGCCTTCAAGTTGACGCAACTGGAAATTTCGAGACGTTCAAGATTGCTGAGTTGTAGAAGCCACTGTGGGAGAGATGCTAGTTTGGGAAGGTGAATGATTTCCACGGACCGGAGACTCTTAAGTCCTTGGAAATCTAAGATTTTGCCGGTTTTGTCCTTGGATAAATCGAGCTCCTCACAAGACCGAATAGAGAGATCCACAAGGTTCGATAGATGTTGCATACCTAGTGAGAGTGAAGTTAATCGAGGACAATATTTGATGCGAAGAAATTCAAGTGAAGAAAGACTTTTCCAACACTCCTCAGGCAAATATTCTAGAAACTTCATCTCCGTGATTTCTAGACGCTTCAACTTACTAGGGCCAAATTTCTGATTTATCAATGCTTGGTTGGCCTTTAGCAGCTTTAACTCCTCAAGACATGGAGTTGGTGGCATGGCTTTCAATTTTTCACAGTATTCGATACGTAATGTCAATAGACTAGGAAATGATGCTGTTAAACTGGATGGATGGTCTGACTCGATGTATTCCAATTCAGTCAGCCAATAAATCTCTAATGTCTTGAGGTGAGGTAGTTGGCCCAGTGGAGGGAGATGTTTACATCTTCCGCAATTCCACAAGCGTAACCCAACTAAATTTGGCAATGAAGACACAAGGCTACCCATCATCCACCTTGGAAAGCTCTCGCCATTATATCCATTGATCGTCAACTTCTGTAAATTTGAGTGCGGCCTTAGTCCATCTAATAGCGCTTCATCTCTATTCCCAATTACTGCATCATCAGTATCGAAATTGCCCCATTGAAGTGCCAAAGAATCCAGAGAATGCTTCTCTATCAAGTTCGCAACCCTGGATTCTGTTTTCGCATCTGTTATGTGTCCCAAATTTTCAATGCTAAGGCTTCCCCGGATGTTATTAAGCTCATTTAGTTCCCCAAGTCTGCAATAATTCTTAGCAAGAGCATTTTTCTGGGGCAAAATGAAGCGTGTTAGCCTATGTAGAGAACTCAATTGCCTTAGTCCACATGGCATATAACTAAGATTCAAACAATGGTCTATGTCTAGATTTCGAAGGCTAACTAACTTACTTATACCGCTTGGCAATTCTTTAAGGCCAAGGCAACCAGAGAGATTAAGTGTCTGCAAATTCTGCAATCTCATAATGGAGTTAGGAAGCATTTTGAGTTTTGTATTGTGTGAGAGATCGAGATACGTGAGATGCTTCAACTTATAAATGGACCTTGGCACCTTCTCGACATTTGTGGCATGTAGATCCAAGATGCGCAATCTCTTGAAATTTTGAATGAGTTGGTGTAGATCTACTTCACTCATTGGTTCTCTTTGTATCAATTTCCAATTTCCAGTAGTAGACATAAATGTTCTCAATGCACTTGCTTTCAAGTGTGAGATTGGAAGTTTACCCAACAAATTGGAAGTTAAATTATGAGATATATGACGAGTTCTTTCAAGTATGGGTTTCATGTAATCCCATGCCACCCAACACTCAGTCCCTGCAACCAAGCAGGCTAGATCATGCATCAAATCATGCATCTTGCAAGTCTCCGCATTCGTAATTGGATCTCTTTGAAAATCTTGGAAGAAGTTACTCCAGAGTAGATCCATGAAATATCCATGAGCAATGTCTTCTAAATTCTGGCTTCTATGTGATGGTTGGATAAATCCTTCTGCTATCCAAAGATCAACCAAAGTCTGCTTCTTTATCTCATAATCTTTGGGAAACAAAGAGCAGATGGCGAAACATTGTTTCAAATGTGAAGGAAGATGGTCATAACTTAGTCTAAGAACAGATATTATGTGGTCTTCCCTTTGAGACACTTCTGGGAGCCCATAATCTTTGAAATGTAACCATTCACGTTTAGTTTCCTTAAGGAATAGTAACCTCCCAATAGTTCGAACAACCAATGGAACCCCAGAGCACTTTCTAACTATCTCTTTGCCGATAGCTAGCATGTCAGGATCTCGTTTTCCCTCTTCTTTTCGACCAGCCATTTGCATTAACAGATCAAGAGATTCACTTTCAGATAAGTCCCCTAGAAGAAGAGGCGGAGCAGTGCAGGTGATCTTCGCAACCAAAGGAAGGCGTGTAGTTATAAGGATCTTGCTTCCTCTAGCACCTCCCACCAATAATGTTCTTAAGCTGAGCCATGTTTCTGGTTTTGTATCCCACAAATCATCTAAAATTAAGAGATATCTCCTTCCATCAATTGCTATCCTCAATTCACTTTGCAACCGTTCCATCGCACTGTCGTTTGGTTCCTCCTTCTTTGCACAAGCTATGATATTTTTCACTATTTTTTTCCTGTCCAAGTCATTAGAGACACAAACCCACATTTTCAAGTCAAAATGTTCACTAACCATCTCATCATTATATACAAATTGAGCAAGAGCCGTTTTTCCAAGCCCACCAATACCAACTATTGGAAGTATGGAAACATCCTCTTTCACATCCAAATCCATTAAGAATTCCATGACCTTCTTTTTATCATCATCTCTCCCAATAATGTCTTCCTCACGTATAAACGAATGCGTCTCTTCTCTCTTCCTCCGCTCTCTCTCTGCTCGTAAATCCACAAGTCGCTCGTCCAAGTGGAATTTCTTTTCAGCCTTAATGGCTTCCATTCTCTTCCTCACTGCTCTTACTTTTCTACTCATCTTCAGTTCAAAGGCAAGCTTGTTTGAACTTGAGAAAAATGTCCTTACCTCCTTGATCATTTCATTGTGGCCCCTTAGTTCTTGTTTGATAGCTTCTATATTAAATTCTTCAAGCACGTCCTGCGCGTCGTAGAAAGCATCTTTCAGTTTCTCAACCCAATCTTTGATTTGGGTACTCTGGTGGTATTGCTCTTCTGCATGGTCCAGTACAGCACGAAGCGTGGAGATAGTGCCCCTGAGCACCTCGAGTTCATGCTTGAGGCCCCCTAACTTTCCGACCTTTTCTTGTGCTTGAGTAATCAGCGTAGAAAGGATGCTTTCGGCAATGGTGATTACAGCTTCTGCAATGATGATTACAGCTTCTGCCATATCTGTTCTATCTATCTCTTTTTGTCTGTCTTTCTGGGGATGAGAAGATATCAGTCCTGTCGTTCCAAGGCTACAGTCTTCTCAGATGATGTAGAATAGTTTGTCCTTGAGATAATATAAGTGTACAATAATAGTAGATAATAGAAAATATTTAACTGACAAACACTGATTCCAAAACATCCTATGTCATATAAGATTCCATCCAATTTAATAAGTAATGCGAGTTCATATTCATACATTACTCTAGAAACATTATATTAGATTATATGAGATGATTAAGTTTTTTTCTACAATATCGTTGAGTAATATGTCTAATTAACATTAAGGGAAATGGGAGGTAATTGAGTGATGATGTGGTTCAACCATTAAGCTCCATTCTACTTAACTTCTTTTTAGTTTGGTTTCGTAAATGACACATAATAGAACAAAACCAGGTAATCACAATGATCAGAGGCTTTTTAAAAAGCAAAAATAACTTTGTGCTTTCCTATTAAAATTCAAAATGTTATTCAAATATAAAAAGTTATAATTCAAATTACATATCAATGTTTACGCGTTGTGAAAATTCCATATGTTTGAAGACAATATTATGTAAAATGTAGACTGAGACAACATTAGAATAAACAAAAATAAAATGTAAAAATTTCCTACTTTTCCACTTTACCGCGAACAGAAAGTGTAAGATAACCTGTTGGTGAAGCAAAGCCACAATTTTTCACTTCCGTTGGCGGACAAATTAGGTCCCAATCTATAAGTAATAGCACAAGTCCTAACATGAGAATAAAGATTTCACTAAACATTTGGCAAGATGCTTGAGATCCTTAATAAGGATAGCAGGAGTTGAACGTTTTTAGCGATCCTAATCACGACAGTTGCATGTTCAGCATTTTTATGGATGCCAATTCAATTATATGTCATTCCGATTCTTTCTAACCCCCCTTGCTTTGTTAGGATTTTTGAAAGCAATCATGTGACTTGTAAGTATGTACGTAGCTAGCAATTTTTTGATGTGATCAGTAACTTTTTAAAAGAAATTCAACTTCCAATCTATAAATAATTACTAACTTGTTTACATGATTAGGAACGTTTCATATAAAAAGGCAATCTTTCTATGTCGATTCTTATCGTCCCTTATTAAAAGGAAAAAAAGACAAGTTTGAACAAAACTGATGCTTTCTGTAATGTAATAGTAAATATTAATGTATAAGACTAAAAATTTACTTGAGGTTTGTAACTTATTCGTGGGACGAGTAAGTTTTTGCCTTAAAAAAGTAATTACCGCCGACTCTGTTTAATAAGAATAATTTTAGGTATTGGCAAACAATGGTTAACCTGTCCACGTGGTCTAAAAAGTGAAATTTAAAGCTTCCTTTTTCTCAGCAGATGCAAATGAAAATTTCTCCTGAAGGGGGTTAAAGAGCAACGAGCCCAGCTTTTTTCTGATGATGCCCATTTCGTAGTTTCGTTCACATGCATGCCCAAATTGTTTAGTAAAAACATCAAGTAGTAAGTGTATCGGGATATGGATCTTGAGAAGACAGAAAATTGTTATAGCTATCTGGGAAACTTCAGCATTTAACTTCACATGGTAAAAATAAATTTACACATGGTAAAAAAAATTATGTTCATGAATCTCTGCTTTTGAGCGAATGAAAAACAGGAGAAAAAGTTTATGAAGTATAAATTGTGAATGAAGTAGTATGAAACCCTGTGTGTGCAAAAAAGAAATTATATATTGGTACTGAAGTACCAATTTGCGGTGGGATAATAAAAGCAAGCAGATGAGGATGCTTTTCAACTTTAAATTTTCATATGTGAAAGGTAAAACAGCTCTTGAAGTTGGCTAATCTTCTTTTTTTAATTCTATTTAGAATTTTGGAAATCGGGACATGTTATATGTTCTTATGTGCCCAATTTGGAGAAGGCTAAATAGCCTGAACATGTAAATCTTGAGGGCCATGTTTACACCCATGTAAGTCATATCTCTAAATCCAAATAGAACACGTTAATAGTTTCCCTAAGCATTCTTTGTTTCATCAGGCTATTCATCTTCAGAAAGGCTCTCTGATTAGTTGCTATAAGAAAGAACGAACCTGGGTAATCGTGGGCTGATCGACGGCTGACCAACAAAGGCAAGGCCACAACCGGCGAGATCAAGGGAGGAGGACAGGAGACGGCGTCGGCAAGACCAAGAGAGAGAAATGAGATGAGACGGCGTCAGCAAGACTCCAAAAAAAGAGAAATCAAGGGCACTGCTGGGGAAAGTCGAGAGGCTAAAGAGTCTAAGAGAGGCTAGCAATGAGAGTGAGAACTAAAAGAAAGTAGTGAGGGTCTTATATATAAAAGATTTAGCATCGTTCTGAACTGTTCCAGTTGACCGGTTCTCGTGTGAACCAATGTAGAGTCGAGCGAGTTTGGTTCGGTTCCAGATTGAACCGACCCGGTTGCTCACCCTTACTAAAAATGTTACACATGAGTTCTAATAATAAACATTATAAGGCTAATCCCTCGATCAGCGAAAGGGAAGGACCATCATGAGCGCGGAGTTCCTTTCATCTAAATAAATTAGATAGCCCCTTATATGAAATGACAAGCCAATCATACAATATGTTTGGTCAATTGAAATCATTTAATATTACGTCTATTATCAAACATAATATTTTTATATTAGATGAGATTAGAATGGAGATTTTACATGCTACATATTAAAAGTCATTATATTTCATGGAGGATGTGGCAGGAGAAGCAACTCTTCCTTGCAACTCTTCCGAAAAGATGTAATTCTCCTTTTCCCTCACCAACAATATGTTTCACGACGATCACTTCAATAATGGCGGCGTTGCTGTTCGTCCATGTATGGTGTCTCTCTAGTGCATTTCTTCTTTTTATGCCTTTTGACTCTGTGTGTCGTCATTTTGCTTTACAGAAACAAGAGAGTCATGGGAAGGTTCAGCGAACAGTCTTGAGCAAACCGGTCAACAAGCGTGTGGCAAAGGTGATTCGCCAGTTCTACATAACCAACGGGTTGCTGAAATTGCAGCCCAAAACCAACCTCAGCTAATCTAAAGATACTCTTGGCTGATGGTGGGTAAGTTTACTGTATCGAGACATCCCATGGATGTGTATATGTTTGCGAAGTTATTTAAAGCACAGCAGGTGTTGGACGTTTCTTAATCACATGAATTTCGTAATATATAAATATCAGTACGTACTTTCTTATATAATTTTTTTATAATTTTTGTTATGGTGGAAAAGTAAAAAAGCCGTATGCTTCTACTGAACGCATGCCCCCGCTTTTCGCACGCATCTAAGTAAAAGAAAGAAATGATATTGCATATATCAACTATTCAAATAGATAACCAAAAAAGTTGCACAATACTAGCATAATACAAAGAGTCCTTCGCAAAAGTATTTTTGGGTTATGCGCCACTTCTGCCTCCTTCCTCCTCCTTTGTTTATTAGAGATAGAAAGACCAGGCAGTTTTGGAACTCTAGATATTAAAAATCAAATGTTAATCAATCAACCATCACTCACTTGTTTGTGGCCTACCACCTCATTTATTACATAAAACTTAATATAGGCACCCACCCCATTTATTGTAAAAAAAGAAAACCCTTAAAGATAATATATGTGCACGATAATAGTAGGTAATAAAAAGATATTTAAATGACAAATACCAATTGCAAAACCTATGTATATATGTATATATTTTTAAAAAATATATAAAGCAATATGTCTAATTAATGTTAAGGAAAGTGGGAAGGAATGAAGTTTTGTAGTGGACACAACTCCACATTAAGCTCCTTTCTATCATACTTTCTCATTATATATAATATATATTATATAATAGATATTAACTTAGCCATGAACTCTTCAGCAATGCTTCCTGTTGCGAAAGCTAAGCAATCGAAAAATAATAAAATTGACAAAATAAGGAAATAAATAGAACACCAGATTTACATGGTTACGTCCACGGGGAGAGTAACATGGAATTCCACCATAAATTAAGCAATACAACAGAGATTACAGCCACACTCAAGTCGCTCAAACACTCAAAGTATTTTTCAAGCCCCAATTACACTCAACATCTCACGCAGTATTTAGTTTCACAATTCTTCACGAAATAATCCCTCAATCTCACGAAGGAATTGTACATAAATCTTAAACAAGATTTTCACGACTTGAACACTCGAATTCTTGGATGTAATTTGATGAAGAAAGACCCACGACTGCCAAGCACTCGTTTAAACGGTGCTTCATTGCTCTGTAATCTATTGGCCAAGTTCAAGTATATATTTCCGAAGGGACGTCCATTGGCCGAATTCAATTAGGAATACAATTCCGTGAGACACGGTCAACCCAAAGTCCAAGTTGGACTTTTCTCAATTTCCTAATCGCCTGAGCCAAATCCAATAAAGCGGAGGATAATTCCGTATATTTTATTTCTTCTTTTTCTGGTCCATTGTTGATCGAGTCAATGTCTATCTCAATGTCCACGTTGGCCTTTCTGATGGACTTTCCTATTTCAAGCCATAGACTCCAACTTCATTTGGAAAGCAAATTTCTGAAACTTGGCATTGGATTTTTTTTTTTAATTTCTAAAATTCAGATTTTCGCTTCGGACTCAAACTCAAGACATAATTTTAACACTTCTAATAACAACTTCCTCCATTTTTGTTCTCTCCAGCCCTCCATCTCTATCTCTTTGTCTCTTTCTCTCTCTCCGTGAATTAAAAGATAAGTACTCCGGTGGTACCAAGGCTAGAGACTATTTAGGACATGCATCGCAAGTCTATGTCGGAGATGAGAATTCTCCTCAGCCACGCATAATAGAGTCTTTATGTCACGCCCCGAACCCCAACGAGCTCGCGACACCCCTTCAATAGCCGTATTGAACGTGACGTCCCAGGACGCGTCGCCGGCCCAAACGAAACACGTGAAGACAAACGCAAGCGGAAGCGGAAATTAAACATCCCAGACAATAAATAATGACAACAGG